TCCTTCATGATCTTCTCTTGATTTTGCTCAATGGTGAGTTGATTTGATTTAAGCACGCTCACATCTTGAAATAATTGTGCCATTTATTTGGCAATGCCACTCACCATGGAATTTGTGGAGATTAGAGAAGTAAGTGTGGCACGTTCAAGAGAGTAGTTTCGTGCAGAGATTTGATCTCGGGTCGCTTTTCCTTAAGAGGAAACACACTCTTTTGCTTCTACACTTGCCCTTTTTGTATGACGAATAGTTTTCCTTAACTCCTTGAAATTTGTAGCATTCTCATCGCTTAGCTTTCCTAGGGCTGAAAGGATGACTGCCGTGCTAAGGTTGTCTGCCGAAGGAACATAACATTCTTGTGCATGCAATTCCTTGTGACCGGAGTCGTCATGTCTCGCACCGAGCGATGCATCCACATTTCCACCGCTGGCTGCTCTCAGACTCGGGTCAGCATGATCTTTTTTAGTATCATTTGAATGTGAAGATTTGTTGTGATGTGAATCTCCTTCTTTCGGGTTTGATTCATTCGGTTTTAGAGTCGAGTCAGTAATCATGGCATCACCATCATCATTGTTATCATCGTCATCATCATCGTAATGATTACTTCGATTTGAGTTATCGTGATCATTTTCATCATCTTCATCATTTTCATCATCTTCTGGAGGGCTTGAAATTTGATCAGGCTATGGCGCATGACTCATACTTGCTTTGGGATCATTTCTGTGCAATCTATCAAGCTCATCATTGATCTTACATAGCCGCATGACATCTTGCAGAGCTTTCAATTATTCTTCAGTGGCTTTATCAAGAGATGGTTTCTTGATATCAAAATCAATGGTTAGAGATTTTCCTTTCGCAAGACTTTTGTTGGTTAACTTGTATGAGTAGACTCGTTGTATCGTCTCAAGTCTTGTTGCTTCATATACAGTTGTGGTTTCAAGCCATATAAGAGCCAGCACATAACACTTTGTCCCGAACACATGAAAGTATTTCAGGTTGGGCTTCTTTCCCTTCCAGATCTCATATGGTGTTTTGGTCGTTCCTGGTCTAAGATAGACTCTATTTACAGTATGACAAGCAGTGTGTACTGCTTTAGCCCAGAAGCGCTGCGGCAGATGAGAGGCATGTAGCATAACTCTAGCCATTTCTTGTAATGTTCGATTCTTTCTTTCCACCACACCATTCTGTTGAGCTGTTCTGGGAGCTGAGAACTCATGTGATATACCGTGTTCGGAGCAGAAATCTGAATATAGTGAATTCTCAAATTCTTTTCCATGATCACTCCTCAGTCTCTGAACTTTTATTATAGACTCATTCTTTTCCTTCTGAACGCTTATGCACAGAGTTTTAAAGGCCTTGAAGGCTTCTGATTTTTCTCTTAGAAAGTATACCCAGCTGTATCGTGAGAAATCATCTACACACACAAATATGTATTTCTTTCCCCCAATGCTTTCAGTCTGTGTTGGCCCCATGAGGTCTATGTGAACTAGATCTAGACACTTCTCAGTGGTGATGCCTCTTAATGCTTTGTGCGGAGTTCTGATTTGTTTCCCAATAGCACAAGCACCACAAACTTTATCCAGATCTATTCTGATCTTAGGAACACCTTTCACAGCTTCCAGTTTTATCAGCTTATCCATATCTCTGAAGTTTACGTGACCAGTCGTCTATGCCAAAGTTTTGATTCATCAGATTTGGATAGATGACATGCAGTTTCATTTGCCAAAACATAACAATTGTCTGAGGACCGGTTTCCTTCCATGACAAGTTGATTTTCTTTGTCACTAACTCTGCAGCAGTTACGATCGAAGCACACATTCCAATTTGGATCACACAACTGACTGATGCTAATTAGATTAGCTTTCAACCCACTGACTAACAGAACTTCTTCTAATTGAGGTAGACCTGGTACATTCAGGGTACCTTTTCCAACAATTTTCCCTTTTTGTCCATCCCCATATGTTACAGCTCCACTGCTAGGTTGAACCGCCATCAGACACTTTACATTTCCTGTCATATGTCTGGAACAGCCACTGTCGAAATACCATCTAGCTTCAGTTGTAGATGCAGTCAGAACTATAGTGGGGTAGCATATAACTTCTGACTTTCTGACCCAAACTTGTCAAGTGAACGGTGTAATAGTCTTGTTCTGATATTTTTCTTTCCTTTGGTCTCTGTAGAAAAAATAACATTCAGGCCGAGTATGACCTTTTGTTTGGCAGTAGTGACAGATGGGAGTGTACTGTCTAACTTTGACAAGCTTATTTTTGAACTTTGCATAATGAAATTGATGCTTTACTTTGGCAAGGTCAGTATCTGCAGTCTGATCATATCTTCTTCTCTTGTCAATTTTCTGCACTGAACGAGATGACTGTCCTTGTTCAAAGCTGTGAACTGCTATGATCTTTAACACACCTTCTTTGACAAACCTAGGTGCATTATTCGAAGATTCACCCCGTTCAAATCCTAGTCCTTTTTTGTCATTAGGATTTCTGCCAGAGTCTAGAATCTTGTCTAAGGTTGATGTGATGTCCATCATCTGGATATTTTTCTTCAGACCCTCCAGTTCTTTATCAGTTTTCCTTCTCTAGATCTTATCTAAGTGATGAGATCTTCTTTTATGACAAGATCTGTATTCAGTTTCTTTAGAAGATCATCCCTTTGCTTCAGTTCATCATTCAGATTTTTATTGACTTTCACTAGTTGTTCCCAGCTTGCAACAAGTTTAGCAAATTCTATTTCAAGTTGAGTATGTCTCTCTTCAAAATCATCAGTTGATATGTAAGATTCTTCATCTGATTGGTTTCCGTCTGACTGAATGTCTATAGCTGTAAAGAAGGCTACAAAGTTTCCCACATTATCATCTGACTGATCATTGGATGTTTCCTCCTCATCATCGCTTAATGTAGCTACTGACATAGCCTTTTTCCTCTTGAGATACGTTGCACATTCAGCCTGTATGTGACCATACCCTTCACATTCTCTACACTACACTGACCGGTTGAGGGACTTCACTGTATCTGTGGAACTGTTTCTGTTCTGTCTTGTTCGACCAGTCTGAGATTGATTGTTCTGTGAAAAAGGCGTTATTTCGGCTTTCTGATATGAGGAGTTATTGCCTTTATATTGCGTTCTGGTGGGCTGACCTTGACTCTTTCTGTTGAAACCTTTTAATATTTTCTTGAAATTCTTGGTTAGAAGGGCTAAAGTTTCATCATCTATGTCGTCTGTGTCAGATTCTCGATCAGCCTCAGCTACAAAAGCCACTGACTTTCCTTTTCTGTTGCTTGCAAGATCATCATCAGCAAGCACTTCTAGTTCATATGTGTGTAAACTTCCCATAAGTTCTCCGACAGTCTTCTTTTCCCAGCCTGTGTGTTCCTGAATAGCAGTTACTTTCATCCGGAAGCGTTTAGGCAAAGATCGAAGGATCTTTTTGACTACTCTCTCATCAGTGAAAGGTTCACCAAGAATTGAGGCTCTGTTCATCAGATTCTGAACCCGACTGTGAAAGGTCGAAATGGTTTTTTCTTCATTCATTCATTCTAAGGGCTTCGAATTTTGACAGTACCATTTGTAGCTTTGACTACTTGACATCACTGGTTCCCTCAAATCTGGTTTCAAGAATTTCCCATACACGTTTAGCTTCTTTTACTCCGGTGACAAGAGTAAAAACCGATTCATGTAGAGATCCTACAATCGAGTTCAAAGCTTTGTTGTTTAAATCAGAGGCATTCATTTCATCGTCTGTCCAAGTCTCCATGGGCTTATCTCCAGTGGTTCCATCCTTATTCTGAACAGTTGGACGGCTCCACCAAGTTAGGACAGTACGATAAACCCTGGTACCTTGTGCATGGAGGTATATCTCCATACGAGCCTTCCAGAATGAGTAGTTGTGACCATCTAGTTCTGGTGGTTTCATACTCGCATCCATCTTGAACAAAAGCAACCAGCCAACGAACACACACAGAGGCACTTCCAAAAGACAGAGTACAATGCAAAACTAAAACAACCCGTACGGATCAAGTCACTATGTAGACTTAAAAGCTCTGATACCACATGTAATTTTGCATTTTCTCTTTTTAAACAGATTAACTGGATTAATCAACTGACTAAATGGACTGACTGATTCAGCGATGAATTCAATCAGTAATAGCAAATCATAGTGAAGATTAAAGAAAAGATAACACCACAAAGCCAACAACACAGAATGTTTACCCAGTTCGATACAGCGTGTATCTACGTCTGGGGGACGATCACATAGGCGTCCAATCCACTAAATCATAATCCAATGTACAAAGGTAGATATACAATAATCTTACCCAGGTGCCCCACACAAGGTACATACCCAGTCTATACAGGTTTGGGGGATTGTTGAAGATGGAGAGCCATGCATACAGAAGTCCAATGAAATCCCTTCACTTGGAGAGCCCACTCTGATGCAGTCCACTTCAATGACGCTCTTTACAGTTGTTCCCACAACAGTGTGATCACAGTGTCCTTTCGTTTAAGCAGCAGTGATTCTTCTCAAGTTCGTCATCTTAATCACCATGAACATGTTGTATTGAGAAGAGGCATGATAATCAAAGATCTGATCTCATCAAACTGATGTGAAGTGTTTTCTTCTTTCTCAAAGACGTAACCCTAATTCTCTTCGAATGAGGATACTTATAGTTCCGTCAAAAGAACACTCCTTCCATAGATGTCTTTGATTGTAGATGGTAGGACGATATTTGAATAATGTAATCTTAAGGATTCGGTCCATACCTTTCCGAAGCAGATACGCTGATCTTCTTTCCAAATCTGACTTCTGTAAAACCGCGTACAGCATTTAGGAAAACAGCTTCCTAAAACAGATCTTCAGTGTCAGTCCTTCTGTTGTTGAATCTGATTGATCAGTCCTCTGTGGAACAAAACATACACTGAACTAATCCTATCTTAGTATGCCATAATAATATTGCCAATTATAAGTTGGGATTTTTGAACAATTAAAACACTAACAGTCGTGAATAGAATGATATTTGATATCAATGTGATTGGTTCGTGAATGTAACACTGGATTGTGAGTAATAGCAATAGCACTCGTATTATCACATTCGATGGACACATCTCGTGCACTTATACCATAATATTTCAATTATTTTATCATCCATAAAATTTGAGCGCAACAACTCCCCGCTGCTATATATTCAGCTTCAGCAGTACTTGTGGAAATGGAGTTTTGCTTTTTGTTGAACCAAGACACGAGTCTTCCCTCTAAGAACTGACATGTTCCAGAGGTACTCTTTCGGTCAATTCGACAACCAGCAAAATCAGCATCTGAATATCCAACTAGGTCAAAAAATCCTCCTTTTGGGTACCAACACTAGTAGAGAATTGACCAAAAAAATGCAACAATACACGTCTTTACTTTACAACTAAAGACGCGTAAAACACAGGAAAAATAATATGGTGGCATTTTTGTAAATATGTTACAAACTCCACGCTCCATTTTTACTATAGTAAAGACGCGTGTAGTGCGCTTTTTATTTTTTTTATTTTTAGTATTGAAGTATACACTACTTGGTATGTTAATCAAGACTTGTATAGTTGTATATTAAAATTAATTTATTCTTTTAAATTTATTATACTGATATATTACTCAAGATTTGTACAGTCTTACGTATTCTTAAGTCTTGCTTCTTCATCTTCTGAGCTTCATCATCATTCCTTCTTCTTTCTTCCTCCCTTGGATCTGCGAAAAACGTACGGTGAGTTTCGAGCTTCGACAATAGTAGCTCCGGCAGCGGCGGTGACGACTTCAGGCTTCGTACTTCTCCGACTGCATTTGCGGTGCGACCTTCAGATCTGCGACCATAGTACGACGAGCTTTCGACGACCAACGTACTCCAGCTAGCTAGCTTATTCCTTCTTCTTCTTTGGATTTACGACCAACGTACTCATATTCTCTTCACTCTTCGAAGAAGAAAGCCCGAAGTTGCTCGAAAGCTCGGCTATTCCACCAGATCTGATCTCACACCGTCGTTCCACCACCGCCACCGCTCCATCGAAGAAGAAGAAGAAGAAACTCCGGAGTAGCGCAAAAGCTCAGCCATTCCACCAGATCTGATCTCACGTCGTTGTTCCGCCACTGCCACACGGTCGCCGCTCCATCGAAGAAGAAAGCTCGGCCGCCAGATCTGAGCTCTCAAGAGGTATGTTTGTTGCATACATTTATTCTCCAACCAAGCAACCTCTTCACTTGATCTACATACATACATCCTCTATATATATATATATATATATATATATATATATATATATATATATATATATATATATATATAGACACACACACACACACACACACACACACACACACACATATATATATATATATATATATATATATATATATATTTTTTTTTTTTTTTTTAAATTTAATTTGCGATGGCAAACACCCTGAAGGATGGGCTCGAGTGGCTCCCTCTTCTAGCTGCGGTTTCCGTGTATAATTCTCCCAGAAGGATGAACTCGAAGAAATCTTCAATCTGCACAGTGGGGCAGCACTCCATTCCTTAACTTTCCTCTTCCGCACTTCTATTCGGTATTGGAATTTGGTTTTATTGCATATCTTATCATTATTTTGCTGAAAAGAACTAAAGTTTTCAAATATATTATGTATTTGGGCATTAGTTGTTTCATCTTCTCTTTCAAAATTTCAGGTCAAATGGGAGGATGTAGAAATAAAAAATCCCAGTGAGAAGTGCCCAAAAATTTCTCTCTTGCTCAACAAAAAATTGCACAAAAGTTCTACTCTTTCCAGTTTAGTTCAGGTTGTTTTCCTGAAATCTTGAAGTGAGTATGTTCATTCTTGTTTTTCAACCTTTTGTTGAATTCTAGTAAACATTTTCATAGGCATGCATACTGGAAAATAGAGCATAGTACTACTTTGTAATTTGATTTGCAAAGAGGGAAAATTTCCAAGTATTTGAGATGCTTAATGAAAAATAAAAATAAAACAAAAGGATGAGGGAGTTATAAGAATACATGAGAATTATCCCTTTTGAATTTTGGGGATTTATTTTTAAATGTATTAATGTTTAGAAATTTGCAGTGCCATTTTCTGCAAAATGGGAAGAAAATTCCATTAATCTTTTGCCAGAGGGATTTAATTGAAGCATAGTGCATAGTTTGGTACAAAAGTTACAAACAAGCATATAAAACAGATGTAGTTGCTCTTTACGGTCTAATATTTGATTATTCAATTTAAGGACACGGGGGATTTAATATATTGACAGAGGAAGGAGAAGCAATTTCTGTCGCCAGTGGGCAGCAAGGATGCTATAAGATTCCCTAAAGAAAATGGAAATAGCAAGGAAAAAGGTGTTATACTTGAAAAACTCAAGCACTCAAAGAGTCAAAGGGGGAAGAACATGGCGATAGAGGTAGTGGTTGTGATGAAAAGCTGTGATTTCTAGCATAGAAGAGAAGAAATGTGTTTGAAGGTTAGTCAGTTTCTTTCAAAATTTAATCATTTACATCTATTTTTAGCATGTATTTGTGAGTTTTGCAAACTGTCAAACCATTCTTTATTTACGTTTGTCAATTGTCTGTGGTTTTGGTGCTTTAATTATTAATGTTTTTGCGTTTATGGATGAATCCTGGATAGTTATATAATTATTAATGCTTTTGCTGCTTACAAAAATTTAATGGAAAAGAAGTTCCTCATGGACTTAGGAAAATTGCAGTGAAGTTTGAGGATGTTTCCCAACCGATTATCCCTTAACTGGTTTCTTTATGCTTTCTGTGAAAATGCTTTTAGTCGGAGCTATCATTTTATGCTTTTCTGTGAAAATGCTATTTATATTTCTGTTATACACTTTGGAATATAGCCATATAGGAGTATTGTTTGCATGGTAATTTCAGTTTTTCTAAATCCTTCCAATATTTTGTGATTGTTATTACTTTGTATTATTGTTGTCGTCTTTGTTTACATGTACTCAAATCAAGAAAACATTCCGTCTCTGTAACTCTGTTTAGTATTTATGTTTACAGGTACTCAGAAAAGTTAGTTATATATTTTTTTTTTTATGATAAATCTGTACCTAATACTTTCTTAGATGGGCTTAAGCTTGTATAGTTTGTTTAGAGGCCAGATGTAAATCAGGTACTATTTAGGTTGGTTCTCCCTTAGTGCCTTGATGATTATATTCTTTCTACTAATTAGAAAAAAAATGATAATTCCATACTAATTGCTTTCACTGATTGGTGCCCTGGTGGATAGCTTTATTACTCAATTAGAGTTATGCTTGGTTTGGTGTCGGTTCTTGTAGTCTCACCAAAATACTGTCATTCCTAAATCTCATTAGGATGCTTTGTGATTCAGGTGTCAAGTCCATCACCCCAAGGGCAAACTATATTAAGAGAACCCTAGCTGGAGAATATCTCACATCTGCCTTAAATGATTTTGGTCCTGAACAATATGACAGCCTTGCTGGCTGCTGCTATATCTGATGGAGCAAACAAGCTTTTAATGTTGGTATGGTTATTTTACTCTATCATATACTCATTTAGTAATTTTGACTAAAGTATGTGTTCCAACTCCAATTAAAGTTTAAGCTATTTGTAAGAATACACATGTCACAGCATTATCTTGTTTAGAGTAAGTAATCTTTAATTGTAGTTTTAGATCAAGAATGAAGTGTTCCATTCTTAATGAATCTCATCATTTTTTAAAAATATTTTTTGTAGTGGTATCAGATTCAAGGTTGACCTTTCCAATTAGTCAATATTTATGTTGGATTATATATATTGTGCTGAACAATTTTATTATATTTTGTGTTTAATGATTCGAATTATATAAATGATTGGATAATTGAATTTTATGTTGAAATGAATAAAATTTAATTATTTTTAAAAAAAATATAACAATAGGCGTCTTAAAGACGACTATTGTTATTTTTTTAATTTGTTACACAGTATACGCATCTTTACTTTGCTAGTAAAGACGCGTATAATTCATGTTTACGCGGCTTCAGAGTAAAGACGCGTAAAGTTGCCACCTTTCCGTGTCTGCGCCATACGCGTCTTTACTAGTAAAGACGCGTATTGTCAAATAGTAAAGACGCGCATGGCTCATTTTGTACTAGTGCAAAGTCTAACACTTTGTGTTCCCTTGAGGTATCTTAAGATTTTCTTAGCCACACTTAGATGGCTTTCCTTGGGACAAGATTGAAATCTCGCACACACACCAATGGCAAAAGACATGTATGGCCTGATTGTCGTGAGGTATAATAGTGAACCAATGATTCATCTATATTTGGTTTGATCAACCTCTTTTCCCTTCATAGTCAATATCCATTCTTAATGAAGTATTCATTAGAATCTTTACTGATGTCTTGTCGTCAATTGCATACTTCTTAATCAGGTCCTTAGTATACTTCGCTTGATTTATAAAAATTCCACCAGTACATTGTTTAACTTGAAGACCAAGAAAGTAGTTCAACTCTCCCATCATACTCATTTCAAATTTTCCTTGCATAAGCTTGGAAAATTTTTCACATAAATCTGAATACGTGCTCCCAAAGATAAAATCGTCCACATATATTTGCACTAACAAAATATGATTTTCATCCTTGATGCGAAAGAGAGTTTTATCCACTACTCCTTTCGTGAAACCACGTTCGATAAGAAAACACGATAATGTGTCATACCAATCTCTTGGAGCTTGCTTTAATCCATAGAGAGCTTTCTTTAGCCTGTACACCTTATCATGTTCGAGATCTGAGTGAAATCTAGGTGGCTGTTCGACATATACTTCTTCTTCCAATAGTCCATTTAAGAATTCACTTTTGACGTCCATTTGGAAGACTTTGAATTCCTTGAAAACTGCATATGCTAGAAAAATGTGTATAGCTTCCAATCTGGCAACAGGAGCGAAGGTTTCATCAAAATCAATACCTTCCACTTAGCAATAGCCCTTAGCAACTAACCGGGCTTTGTTCCTAGCAATAACTCCTTCTTCACTCATCTTGTTTCTGAAAACCCATTTAGTTCTGATAACATTTTGATGAGTAGGTCTTGGAACTAACTCCCATACTTCATTCCTTTCAAATTGATGGAGTTCTTCTTGCATAGCTATAACCCAACCTGGATCGCTTAGAGCTTCTTTGATGGATTTCGGCTCCATTTGAGATAAATAGCACGCCATCATGCATTCATGAATTGAAGCGCGAGTTCTTACTCCTTCTCGAATGTATCCAATAACTTGTTCTGGAGGATGATTCCTTAACCATCTTAAGTCTGGTTCAAAAGATGTTGGTGGTGCCTGCACATCAACTTGAGGGATGTAGGGCAGTTCTACATAAATCATCGGTTCGATTTGAGTTCGTGGAACTGGCTCAACAAGTGTTATTGTCTCAGTGACTTATTCAGTGGTAGATTCGGGTTGAACTGTCTTAACATGTTTGGGTTGATATCTCTGATAGGGCATTAAGAAATCGTCTGTGTCAGAGTCTTCATCTAAGACATTATTGGATTTGGCTTGAATACTCACATCCTTCATAGAGTTGGATAGATTGTTGACTGAATCCTTCTCCATTCTTTCATCAAACTTTACGTGAATGGATTCCTCTATCACCATGGTTCTTTTTATTAAGAACTCTAAAAGCTTTACTCACAAGGGAATATCCCATGAATAGTCCTTCATCAGCTCTTTCATCAAATGCTTTTAGATGATTCTTCACATTATTATGAATAAAGCATTTACTCCCAAAGATGTGAAAATAACTTACAACTGGCTTCTTTCCTTTCCATAACTCATAAGGTGTCAATCCATGTGCCTTGTTGATTAGAGTATGATTCTGGGTATAGAAAGCTGTATTGGTGGCTGATGCGTAGTATATTTGCAAACAAATAATACTCGGAGTACGAGTTATCGATCCACAGGGAAGTGGTTGTATCAAGCACTAGTTACTAATTTATTCATTAGAGCTAATCCTAACAAATGTTTAGATGATTGATTTGCATAAAATAAATAAAATAAAGCAGAGATTCAGGATTTTGAAAACAATTAGAGAGAAGATGAGATTCCTGGGATTCAAGTATTTAATCACCTAGTGCTAAATCTTAAGGACAATATTAAAATCTGGGTTTAACAAGTGTGAGAACGCAAGGTGGTATAGAGCTACTCTCGTAGTCACTAACACTAGTGAATTTCCACTCTCGTGGCTTAAACACCCAATAAAACAAGATCAAGCATCATAAATTCCTAACTACTACCATCTCTCGATGCGCAATAATCAAGAATTAAATCCCCCTAATAAATTACCCTTTCTCAATGTGCAACAATTAGGTGCAATTGTGTGTGCCCAAAGTTATGCCCAACTCTCGTTGTGACACAAACAAAGCAAATGAAACAAGTAACTATGACCACTAATTACAAGCATCAAACAATAAAATCACAATTGCAACACAAGCATTAAACCCAAATAATAATATAATAAAGAATCTAAGAGCTCAGCCACATAGGTTCATAAACACTTTTACCCAAGAATCTCTAAACAATTTAGCCAAGCATGGCTAAATTATACATAGAAAATATTAATAAAGAAAATACAAATTATCAAAGATCTCTGATACAAATTTAGACGATTTTCTCGAATCTCCCTACTCTTCTACTTGTTTCCCAAGATAACTTGTGGCTCTTGATTTCTCCCTGCCTTGTCTCCAAAGATCTCTGAATTCTGAATTATGATTGGAGAAGATGGGATTTTATAGCGGGAGTCAAACCGGGACAAAATAGGAATTTTTTTTTTTTTTGGAATTCGCCGTCTCTATGATTTGGAATATATATGCCTAACTTTGATTTAAATTTGCAAATCATCTTCTTTCTTAATTTGAGAAGTAAAGCATCCACTTTAGTTTGCTTGGAATTCAGCGCCTTTTACTTGAATTTAATTGCTGCCCTTTGTGAATTGTAATCAGCGCCTTTTGCGCTTTGTGCTGAGATCGCTCGATGCGTCGAGACCTCATGTGTGCGAACCAAAATAGCTACTGTAAAATTTCGACGCGTCGAGTCTCCTGGACTCCGAACTCGTCTAAAATTGCTCCAAACTCATCCTTGAACTCCTCTTGCTCATAGAATTGACCTACAATTGTTCCAAAACACTCACGAACACCGTAAATCATTCAAAACAAGTGTTAATTAACCATATCTAAATGATAAAACAAAGGGATTAAGCAATTAAATTACTAAAATCATGAACTCAAACCTATCAAATATAATTAAATCAATGCTAAAAATGTGCACAATTAGACTCACATCAGTGGCTTCAGCCCAAAATCGTTTAGGTAGACCAGAGTGAGCTATCATGGTTCGAGCTGCTTCCTTTAGAGTTCTATTCCTTCTTTTGGCAACTCCATTCTGTTGAGGAGTTCTAGCAGCCGAAAGTTGATGAAATATGACATTCTGTCCACAGAAGTCTGAAATCACCTTGTTCACAAACTCAGTACCTTGATCTGATCTTATCCTGATGATGCTAACTTGTTTTTCATTCTGGAGTTGTCTCAATAGTTCTGGTAGCATCTTTTCTGTTTCGTTCTTCTTCTTTAAAAAGATTTTCCAAGTATATCTTGTGTAGTCATCTACTACCACGAGAGTATACTTTCATCCACTTAGACTTACAGGATCAACTGGACTGAATAAGTCCATGTGTAAAAGACTCAAGGGTCTTGAATTTGTATCAATGACATTAGATTTGAATGAAGACTTAATTTGTTTTCCTTTCTGGCAAGCATCACAGATTTTATCCTTAATATAAGAAACTTTCGGTAAACCTTCTACAAAGTTTCCTTTCGCCAACTTGTTGATAGTCTTTAGATTTAGATGATTCATCTTGTTGTGCCATTCCCAACTTAGATCAACATTACTTTTGGCCAACAGAAAAACATTCGCCTTAGAGAGTTCCCATGTGACAACATACATGTTCTTCTTTCGTCTGGCAGTCAATACAATATCGCCATTTTCCATGCTGATTACACCGCACTTGTCTTTTGAGAATTCCACTTTGTAACCTTTATCACAAAACTGACTAGTGCTCAATAAATTGAACTTAAGTCCCTCAACATATGAAACATCGCGAATGATTATTCCATCTTTAATAATATCCCTCATTCCATGTGTCTTTTCGCTAGATTCCCCTCCAAAGACTACTTTTGGGCCATCAAACTCTTTATAGTTGCTTAGATTCGATTTGTCTCTTGTCATATGTCTTGAGCAACCACTATCCACGTACCAAATGACCATGTTAACTTGAAATAAAAAATTATGTAGTTTTAGGTACCCCTTCGTTCTCGGGTCCTTGAGGGTTAGCGGTCAATTTCGGGATCCAGGTGAATCTAGAGTTGGTATTACTCATCCTTGGTCCTCTGTATCCATTAAACACGCGATAATCATATGGGATTTTTGAGAAAGTTTTGGCTTGCTTATCTCGTCTTTGGAAATAGGCTTCTGACGGATTGCGATACACCCTAGAATAATGAGTCAGTTTGTATTTGTGAACCTTTTCGAATTCTGCTTTCGTCATGGGTTCAGGAAACACAAGCCAGTCCTCTTCAGAAGGATAGAACCTTCCGGCGCCTCTCATTGGTCTTCTAGGTGACCTCTGAGGCTTAGCATGACCGTTGTTATTTCGTTCATTAGGAGAATTATTACGATCTCCCTGTGAATAACCCTTGCGTTGATTCACTGAATGATTTTGCCTCTGATTGATATTAGGGTTTTCCTTTAATTGGTTATTTCTCGTTGGCTGACCATTTTGGTAATATACACTTGGTCTATTTACTTTGGGTTCATTCCGGTTGACATTTTTAACATGTCTCGGATTTCCATTCGTGAAATTTCCTTTTGTAGGTTTCACAAAACGTTGTACAGCCTTTCCTTTAGAATGGCTTGGCTGAGTTGGGCCTCGGACAAACACAGATTTTAAACCTCCACTGGTATAAGGATCCGTAGGTTTAGTCAACAAGATATGTGAAGACGAGCTTGGGTCGTAGCCAAGTCCAGCTCTTTCCCCATATGGTCTTTGACTGTTCACCATTCGATGAATTAGTAAATGATGTAATGACCTCATGCAGATTTTGCTCTCTTATCTCTCTTGATGTGCACTGCTCTTTGAGAAAATGAACTTGTTTTTTGTACTGGTCAATGGTGATGGCTAGCTCAATGTTTTTTACTTTAACGCGTCTAAGCTCTTCACATTTGACCAAGAGACAAGAGTTCTCTTCTTTCAACTGAGAGTATGTGTTTTTCACAATCTTGAAGCCCGTCATCATTTTCATGAATGACTCAACGGAACCTTCTTCACTTTCTGAACTAGATTCAACTTGGGTAGATAAAGAGGATTGAGAATTTACCTCGTCATCTTTCGCCATTAAACACAAATTGTCATCACTTTCTTCTTGGCTGAATAGGCATAGGAGTCCCTTTTCTTCTTCTAAGTTTTCGCTCTATGAGCTTGAGCTTGAAGTGCTTAGTTTTGGTTCAGCCACATCATTTGATTCATTTACGACCATTGCTTTTCGCCTCCTATCATGCTTTGACTGATTGGATTCGTGTTTAGCATTTCTTCTGCTCGATTCAGCAATGTCTTTTCTTTCTTTTGGAGTGCTCGTGTTTGGTTCTTGGTCCTGGTATATGCGGACCATAGGATGAGGACAATCTGCTTTGAAGTGTCCTGGCTTTCTACAGTTATAGCACACCACTTGAGCCTCCTCTTGATCTTGTTTCATGTGATGAGATGATCTTTCTGTAAAACTTTGGCTTGAAGAGTTTGGCGATGTTTGAAATTCTTGAAAGTTGTTCTTCCTAATGAACCTTTTAAATTTTTGCACAAATAAAGCAAATTGCTCATCAGATAAGAAATCAGAGGGGTTAGAATTCGACCTGCTAGACGTAGCTGGTTGCTGGTTTGCAGCGAGAGCGATGTTCCTGGTTTTTGATTCCTCACTGCTCTTTGGTTTATGTTTAAACTCATAGGCTTTCATATCGCTAAAGATTTGTGAGCTTTGAACAATTTTCAGATCTTTGTGATCTCTCATGGCTGTCACCTTCATCTCCCATAATTTAGGAAGTCCACGAAGTATCTTCAAGTTGATCTCCTTTCTGGTTGGTTCCTTCCCTAAATATGATATTTCACCTAGAAGTTTCGTATTGAAGCTCCATTTGACTTATTGTCTCATTTGGATTCATCTTGAAATCCTCGAATTGCTTCATAGCCATTGTGAGCTTGTTCTCTTTCTCCTGTTCATCACCTTCACTAATATCCATCAGTGTATTCCAGATATCCTTGGTAGTTGTGCATTTCCTTACTCTTGGAAATAACGATTCATCTAGAGACTTGTACAGAATGTCTCGTGCAGCATTGTCAAGGTTTGCTCGAGTTCATTCTTCTGTAGTAAGTTGAACTTTTGGTTTCGGGATCATCTGATCAGCCTCAGCACCTTGAGCTGCTGCATGTGGGTTGACCATCATAACAATGATTCGTCCATCTGTGATTACATCCCACATATCGTCATGAATCGCTGATAGATGAGCCTACATGTGCACTTTCCAGTCATCAAACATGGATAAGTTGAATGCAAGAGGCCTAGATCTATGACCATGATCATTTTCCATTTTGAAAAATTTGTGCAAAGAAAAAAAATTTTGAAGGATTTGAAATGGGATCTACCAGGCAGTATACGCAAAGCATTTACCGTTCAAGGAAACCGCTCTGATACCACTTATTGGTCCCGATACCGAAGGATGAGAGTCTAGAGGGGGGTGAATAGACTCTATGCGATTTTTAAAACTTTACTTGAAATAGTAATGCACAACGGAAATTATGTGTTCTTTTTAATATTCTTGGTACACTTTCGTTAGAAATTGCTTAACTGAGATGAATATGTATGCAATGCAAGGCAGTTAAATGTAGATAAGACACGAGAGAGAGAGAGAGAGAGAGAGAGAGAGAGAGAGAGAGAGAGAGAGAGAGAGAGAGAGAGATTTTTATAGTGGTTCGGCTGTTAACTAAGCCTACTCCACTCTTCTTTCACAACTCGTGAAAGGGTTTGCACTATCACACCGAGTTGAGTGTTGGAAAGAATTGATGTTATCTCCAACTTGAAATCTTGACTTGATGATGGCTTGATCTTCGTATGAACTGCAAGATTTCTTGATGTTGTGAATACTTGAAAAACTTGATGATCTTTTAGAAAGGTCTTCACAAACACATGCTGGTTATGAAAGCTAGTAACTTGAGAGTTTTTGAAAGCTTTTCAGATAGCAATAGAGTGATAAAAACTAGCACCTTCTTCAAGTGATGAAGATGGGTATTTGTAGGGGTGAAAAATCCATCCGTTAGAGGGAGATGAAAATTTCAAACCTATTAACTAGCATGTAATGACTGCTGGGTAAGGAGACTTAAATGCGGTCGTACTGTATAGCCGTTGGCTTAAAAAAGCAATCGACTATTTTGTCTTGTAGTGAAGACAAAAGGTACTAATCATTAAATGCTCCTTGATATTTGAAACATCATTCCTAGGACACCATTTGTCTAGGATGATTTTCCCATCATTGAGACTTGGACAAATATGCTTCTGAAAATATGTGGAATTTGTCCAATCGAGTCAGACCTTGACTCGTAGTCTCGGGATCTGATAACGATGGATTGTCCATATCATTAGTTGTCTTCTCAATTTAAATGATCTTTCTTTATCATTTGCCAATTACACGAGAGATAGACCCTTCCAAGTTTCGGTCTTAGCGGATCTCTCGGCCTTCTCTTGATCTTCTCTTCTCTTCAATCTGTCATGATTGACTAAGGGATGCTCTGATTTGTGTATATACTCAGCTGAGCACGAATCATTCTTTGAGCAAAAGCAACTTTAATTTCGTTCAACACGAAAGATACAAAATAATCGAGAGAAAAGAGGGGTCTAAATTCCTAGTGAGTTTGATATCATCAAAATCTAATTACACATGTTCCTAACACCGTGGACCGAGATTACAAAGTTTGAAAGTTGTGAATCAATCTTGATAGTGCCACTACAGTCGTGGGACAAAAAGTGTGAAAAAACTCAATAAAAGTTAGGATTGCAGATTTCCTGCAATTAAATACAAAATGAAAAAGAATGGAAATCCTAAATAATGTGATAGGTTATATTGACACATGTAAAAAAGCAAGTGTATATGCACCCTACACCCTACTCTATACAGAGAATAAGAATTTCACACACTGTTACAGGTTGCAGTAGAGTTACTGACCCACCTATCAGTCATTGAAGTTGGAGAAGTTGGGAATCTACCAATCTTCTTCAACAGCACAACCTGTTCTGATTCCGGTGACAAAGGAACTTCTACACTACTGGAAACATTCTTCTTATCAATTTGATCACTTTTCACCTCATCTCGGAACTCACCACCTTGAATGTCCTTCAATGTCTCCACTACATCATCCATTGTAGGCCTCATATGTTTCTTGGGTTGCAAGCATTGGAAAGCTAACTCTGCTACTGAAGTGGCCATTCTCAAGATTTCACCATCTGTCTCAAATCCTAGAGAGGGGTCAATCAACTCACTAAATGCACCTCTAGGTATCTTGTTCAGTGCTAGAGTTGCTAGGTTGATCTCGTCTCGATGCCTACTTGTATCCAAGGCAGGCATTGACGATACGAGTTCAACAAGGACAACCCCAAAACTGTAAACGTCGCTCTTATCAGTAAGTTGATAACACTCCTGATACTCAGGATCAACGTAGCCAGGCGTTCCCTGCGGTACAGTGGAGACATGAGTGACATCATTAGGGAGAAATCTCGAAAGCCCGAAATCAGCAACTTTTACACAGAAGTTGTTGTCGAGAAGAATGTTGGTAGTCTTCACATCACGGTGTACTATGTCAGAAGCGTGGAGGTAAGCAAGTGCAGTAGCGGTTTCTATTGCGATCTTCATTCGGATAGGCCAAGTGAGTGATCTATCCGTGGCTTTTTCCCCATGGAGATGATCTGCAATTGTTCCATTAGGGATATATTCATAAACCAGGAGTAGCTCACGGCTGTGTCTTGACGTGCAGCCATAGAGAGTCACAAGGTTGCAGTGCCTTAGGCTGGTGAGGATTTTTATTTCATTGATAAATTGCTCCAATCTTTTGTAGTTGTGCTGATATAAGCGCTTCACTGCAACTTCTCTACCATCACGAAGTTTGCCTGCTCATTATAAACAAGAATTAGCTTTGAAATGATACCAAATTGAATAATGTGTTTTGTGTAAATGTTCGGGGGAGGCCAGTAAAGGTGTAAATCTATCAACAGGTGGCTAGGGGATGTTGGGCGGAGGTCGGTGAAGGGTCAAATTCAGCACCCCATCTTTGGAAAATGTGATAATGATTTTTAAAGAAATAAAGTTGTGGCTTCATTACGAGCTATAACTTTTGGCATAGTAGTAATGGTTTGATCCTAACAAGTGATATCAAAGCCAAGTCACGAGTTCGAGTCCCAACAACAAAGGCTGGTAAAGGGTAAAGTCGAGTCCTAGCGGTAGAGACTGGTAAAGGGGCTAGGGGATACGCAACTAAAAATCTAAGCCTACTGGTAATGGGGCTAGGGGATACGCAACTAAAAATCTAAGCTGATAATTGGATTATGATGCACACAATAATGATTGGATTTGATGTATCACAATTTGGTCTATTGGTTTATAGCATCTTACCATGATAAACAGTGCCAAACCCACCATCTCCAAGTTCTTTGTCGGAGTGAAAATAATCAGTAGCTTTTTGAAGTTGAGAGTAGGAGAAGACATGAACTCCCAACAGTTTGCATCCTTCGAGGTCCCAATTGGTGGACAGTTGAGAAGAACCAGCATGTCCCTTCTTCTTTCGACACCGAAGAACAATGACGATCACCCAACTTGTTAAAGGTCCAAATAAGATCAATGCCATACCACACACAACTGAAATCACAAAATATATAAACGTAATCAACCTTTTTATACTGAGATTATTATATATTATGCATAGAATATCAAGTGGATCTTCTATATATTATATATACTAAGAATGTTTTTGCTTACTAAGAATCCGAATGCCCTTGGGCAGCTCTTCTTTTCCTGCATCTGAAGTAAATAAGGTAATTCAGTAAGAATTTTGATGAGAGTAAAAACAACTGTCTATCATAATAATTTCATGTAAATGCAGGTTAGTTTTTGTACCTGAACATTGAAAATTGTTATGGGTGTCAGTTAAGCATTGCCCCCCATTATAGTGACACTTTGCACAAATTTCAGACACCTTCCATTGTATGAGAATCAAAGAATTTAAATTCTCAAATAAGTTGATGGCGCTGGATGATCTGTTAAAGTTAAACGGCAAGTAAATAACTGAACACTCTGCAGGAAGACTGGTGGCAGTTGGTAGAGTATCATTGTCCATCTGGGTATAGTACAAGCTGAAGTTTTGGCAACTGTTATAGCTTCTGTATCCATGGAAATAATGCCCAATCTTCTTCTGTAAGCTCACATTTGAACTACTATTGCATTTGTAAAACATCGTTTTGGGCACGAAATCGAAGGAAATGGAAGCAGAGCTGGGAAATGAGATTCCTGTGTGGAAAACGTTGCAACTTGGTTCCCGCAAGTATTTCTCAAGAAGTGGGTCAAAGAGAAGCATAAGATCACCCTTAATAAATACAACTCCATATTTGTGTTGTCCCAAGGTAATTGTTGGATATGGAGTAGCATTACAATCTAAGGTGTACAACCCACATTCAGGTCTCGAAACATTGGAGAAAGGAAAACTCACATTTGTTATGTTTCCGCAGGTGAATTGTTTGGGGCAGCTAGACTGGGAACTGCTTTTCCCTTGAGCTAACTGAAGAATGATAACTATTTCAAACAAAAGGAAACAAGCAAGTAATTGATATGTAGGCATATTATATATGGCAAAATGATGGAAGTTAAGATAGTTAGTAGAAAAAAAAAATAAAAAACTTGAAGAAAATATTGGTTAGATTGATTTAATTTGTAGCCTGAATTCTTTCACTATATATGTTTCCCTGAACTGTTAAGCCCGGCCACATAGGTGAATTTCCTACTCACCTTCCCGGTGGACGACCAAATTAAAGACAAAGACTTTAATTGGCTCCCTCCTCCACGCAATTTAATTTTGGTTTAATGTGACTTTTCAACACGCAAACTTTGAAAACAACCAGAAAGCAAGCTATGCCTTCCTTGTAACGTTAGTTTAAGGAAGTCGCCTAAAGGGGGCCTTAGCATTGACTCAACTCATGCTGCGAATAAGAAAGCAAAGATTGACAATGAAATCGACCAATCGCCCATCGCATTCTGCACTAAAAGTCAATAGAGGGGTCAAATCAGCGGTTTTGACCGGCTTGCCCGACCCACCGCAAATTATTCTACGGATCCGATTCTAAAAATACAAATTTTACATACGAAATGTTCACAATTTACATATTAAATGTTACATATACAATTTACATATTAAATTATCACAATTCAAATTGTGAACATTCAATACATAAATTGTGTATTTTGGATTAAGGTTCACCTTGCAAGATGAGCCAGTGTCCATAGTATAACTGCTGCTTGACCCACCATATGCCCATTTATTTTTTGTAACGGACTGGCCTGGTCTAATTACATTTCAGATCAGGATTGGTCTAGTCCAAAAATGGAAATTAAAGTACAATTCGGTCTATAGCTCAAAAAATATAAAAATAAAAATAAAGAGTATATATCGACTCATTTAAGTTATGTTTTCTTTTTAAATTAGCTTTACATGTTTACATATTTATTTTCATATATTTAACATAATAATTATTACCAAAAAAAAAATGAAATGAATAATCAATAATGTAATAACATTAATGAAGATAAGTTTACATATTGCAATTAGCAACTACTAACTATTATGTACTAGGAGTAATTTTCAATTCGAAACAAATAATGGTTTACAACTTTAAAATATTTAAAGGTAGTGATTACTAATTGGTATGCTAGTTAAATATTAAATATCTAACAATTTAATAGATATAAAAAACCAATTTCACATTTTCTAATATGATAATCTCATGTGTCATTAGTCCTTTAGATTATATATACGTATTATATATTTTAAAAAATGTATTGGCAAACAGGCCAAATTGACCGATCCATGGGCCTAAAATTAAAATCCAATCCTGTCCGAAGTATAAAACGAGCTAACCTTAGTCCACCCATTGTAACAAATGAACCAGCTGATTAGACCAACCCAAACGGCTTGGACTTGGGGCCAGACTTGAACTCAATCATTACATCGTGCACCAGGGTGCACAATGCATTGTGTGCCCCATCCTGCCCAAAACAACGTCATTTTGTTAAGTTGTGTGAGGAGTTGACGCGACGGAGTTTATGTGTATTCTGTTATACAATTATGTACATTCGAAACATGGGATTTTTTTTTAAAGTGTTAAAAGTTTATGTGTATTATGTATTATGTTAGATTATGTGTATTATCCTTTCAAAAAAGATTATGTGTATTCTGTTATACAATTATGTACATTCTATTATACAATTATGTACATTCTATTATATAATTATGTACATTCAAAATATGGGAATTTTTTTTTAAAGAAGTTAACAATAAATACGGAAACGAAATTTTCAAAAAAAAATACAAAATAACGTCATTTTAGGTCTGAGTGCACAATGCATTGTGCGCCCTGGTGCACGATATAATTTGCCACTTGAACTAGACTTCAAGCTAGCCCACCATTTGACAACTATAGTGTGAAATGTGGCTCGACTTTAATCCCCTTGGGAGAATTATTGAAAACGTGAGCTATATGACTAAGTTTGTTTGGAATAATTTATAAGACTAATAATGGCTGTGTGGAAATCAGCCGTCGAATTCCATCCCTTTATTGAGTGCGGGGAAAATAACCATATTGACTGCTTCCACCAGTCTTGTAATTCTTTTGAAATATTCTTATTAGTTTTGGAATCATTTTTGAAAGTTGAACAGCTAAAGAGGTTTACTGATTTCTATATTATGGGTACTAGTAATTCACCCGCGCGATGCACGGAAAAAATTATGTTATTATAAATATAAATAAAAAATAGAAAAACAAAAATATTTTAAATTATTTAATATAATAATATTTTTGAGCTTCCATTGGTCAAGTATTTATTATTTTTATAGAATACAAAATTATAATTATAATTTTGTATGGTTAATATAATCTATAATTATGTGCATATTCAAATAAACTTACAGAGATAATTTACATAATTACATTGATTTATTCTTAATTGTATTTCATCTATATTATAATTTTCACAATACAAATAATAACTAAGATAATTACATTTGGAAAATAAATTTCAAATTTTGTATGTGTAAATTTAAACTCTAATTGAACACCATTTTTTATATGATTATATAATATATAGCTATTTTATTTTTTAAAAGTATATTTTTTATATGATTATATAATATATAGCTATTTTATTTTTTTAATGTTGTTTTTTTTGTTTTTTTTTTTTTATAATAAAGGATGTTGTGGCATTAATTGTAACATTAATTATTTCCCAAACCATATAGCTTTATTATATAAAGGATTAGGTTGATGGTTGTTAGCTGATAGCTATTACTCGGTTAGTTGATTTGGTTGGTGGGTTTAATTAGTTGATAATATTAGTTGATTGTAGAAAAGTGTTTGCTAAATTAGGTGTTAGCTGTTAGTTGATTACATACAAATGACTTTTTCAAAAAACTAATCGAAAAAGCTACTTTGAGTAGCTTTTTTAATTTTAGTATTCTGGAGCAAAAAATTGTTACAAAATGCTAATTAAACTATAAGTTCGTATTGATTGTTTAACCAAGTCAAACAGCTAATATTGGTCAAATAAACCAAAATTGGTTTATAGGCTAACTATTTTACCAAACAGAGCTTATATATTTATATTATATTCTTCGTTTTGGTGAATATATTATGAGTCTGTTTGGCAGAGCTTATTTAGGAGCTTATAACTTATTTTAATATGCTAATAATAAGCTATAAGCTTTGTTTAATAATGTTCCTAAACTAAGCTCCTCGCTTAAAATAAGAGCTTATTCTAAAACGCTACCTTCCTAACCTTTTTATTTCATCTATGTCCTTATTATTTTAAAGAAATGACATCATTTATCCTTCCCAATTAACACCATTTTCTCTTCTCCTTCATCCGCAACTTTCACCTCAATTATTATTATTATTATTATTATTATTATTATTATTATTATTATTATTATTATTATTATTATATTATATGAAGTAGATTCGCAACAATATTGCTACTTCATGGGGTGCTAGATCATAATTATGCTAATAGTTTTATTTCAAAATATTAATTTTTTAAGACAAAATGTTAAATTTTAATTTAATATGTTAATAAACTAATTTAAATTTTATGAAGATATCATTTTTTGTCTTTTTACATTTATCAACTTATCAAAAAAAGTAAATTTTACAAAACACTTTTAAGCATAACAGCTCTTCAATTTTTAGCTCCTAATTTATAGCTTTTCAACTCCTTTTTAGCTTTCCGTCTAGTGCTCCTTTTTGTTGTAAAAATGGTGGAACAATGTCGAAGCGAAGCTGGAAATCTGTATATAAAAGTCGAGAAGGAAGCCAACGAAAGAACTGTTTCTGAAACACTGCCTTACACTTTTGATGAGTAACACAGAATATTGTAACCAAGATTAGAGGAAAGTGGATGTTGAATAAACTCATGATCCTACGAGCAAGGAGAGGAAATATGTGTGAAAATAGGGCAAAAAAGAGATTAGAGGAAAGTGGATCTTGAATAAACCCATGATCCTACGGGCAAGGAGCTGAGAGGAAAAATGTGTGAAAATAGGGCAAAAAAGCCTAGCCAAGTAGGCAATTGCCCATTCCCCTTTCTTTGCTCTCCATAAGGCTTCAAGAGACTTAGAAAGATGTTTATTATAAAGAGGGAAAAAGCTAGTTGTGAAACCAATGTAGGACAATAAACATGCCAAAGAGTCTTCTTTTTGAATGGTTTCCCAACACCTTTTATCCCACAAAGAGATGGTAAAAGCATATATAGCCAGCAAATTTGGCTGTCATAAAAGGAAAAGTGGAATGTATATGGAAGGCTCTGAAAGTTTACTAAAAATTCTATAACACCACCAAATTAAAGTTACCTGGCAAATGCTATATAACTATGGACTTTGAGACAATCACGGTCTCCATAATCTAGCCAAGAAATTTGTTGGTACAAAATTTGATATATCTCTCACCGGATTGCATGCAAGACATATTAGATTATGACATTTTGTGATTTTAAAAAGTATAAAGTAAATAAAATCTCAAAACACAAATAACAAGTTATACACAAATATATTTTGCACCTTTTCTTTACATAGTTAAAAACTAATTGAAAGAAAATGCTAAAATTAATGTATAGTAGATGAATTTGCTTCAGTTGATGCAGACGAATACAAGTAGGGCTTTGGAGGAAATGGCAAAGAGTTCACACTGTTTTCCAACATTTCCAATGCCTTACTTATTGATGGCCTGATTGAAGGATCAACATGGATGCACCACAAACCAACCATGATCATCTTTCTTGCATATTCTTTATCCTCTTCATTTGTAATTCCTTTCAATCCCAACTCTTTATCAAGTTCAATCCGACTGTATATCCAGTGCGGAAAATAGATTTCGCTACTTCGATCTACATCCTTCTCAACATTCTTTCTGCCACTGACCATCTCTAGTACCATCATCCCAAAGCTATACACGTCAGCCTTATGAGAGACCACTCCAAACTGTCTGCATGCAACTTCTGGAGCAACATATCCAATTGTTCCCCGAGCACCCGTTATCGACACAAAGCTCTCTTTTGTTGTGTGCAGTTTTGCAAGACCGAAGTCTGAGATTTTTGGGCAAAAATCTTCGTCTAGAAGAATATTATGTGGCTTTATATCAAA